TATATATATTTTTAAATATAAAAAAAATTTTAATAAAAATTTTTAAAAAAGAAACAAGGTACACACACATTTGGTTACGATGCTGTACTCTTATTATGATACCTTAAAACTCTCCTTTTATTGAGGAAAAGTAAATTTCTCATTTTTCCTACATTGTACAGATATTTATCAAATGAAATATTTCTTACTAGGATTATCCATGTTTCCTTGATGTCTGTCTTCTAAAATATAAACAGATTTTGAGTTAATTGCATTATACATCTCTCTGGAAGAGAAAGATCTAATTAAAGAAGTATAGCACTATATTATGAGATTAAGTGTGATTCTGGGTAGTGTTGGCTTTGCCTTTGTCAAAGCCTGCACTACACATAGCTTTCCAGGAGTGAGTACGATATAGCACAACAGTCTCAACAAATCTAGTGGTTATTGGAGGAAGGAAAGTTACAGTGAGGGGCATAGAAAGGCTGGTCCCAGTCCTGGTATGCTGGATAGTTCTCATTTACTCTTCTTTGATGAGCCATTCCTGTGTCTGAGGATTCCCTCCCAGACTCAGTTCACCCTGAGAAGCCTCCTGCTTCATTCTAGAATAGACAAGGACCCCTGGATAGCAACTGTTTCAGTTTCAGGTCAAGGACCTTTCCTCTGCTTGAGAACCTGAATAGTGGCCCACCACTCACATTGAAAGGAGGTCTCAATATTTTCTTCCTCTGGTGCACAGACTAGAATGTCAAAAACTATAACACATATGTTGTCCCCAAATTCCTTATAACTGAGCTAAGTAGGATCCAGTGGTGCCTCCATCCCAATAAAGAATTCATTACCACTGTGGCTGGACATCACAGTTGGTGGGCTGTAACCCAGCAAGATGCTGCGGAATCTGCTGGCTCTCTCACAGCTTTCTCAGAGGACCATTAGCACTGCTTTATGCAGGTATTTTGAAAATAAAGTTCCACAGAAACAAAAACTGTTTCAGGAGGACGGTGGAATTCCAGTGCATCTAAAGGATGGGGTAGCTGATGCCCTCCTTTATAGAGCCACTGTGATTCTTACCATGGGTGGAATGGGGCATGCCATATACCAGTTGGCTGTGGCATCATTTCTCAAAAAGCCGGAATGACGTGAGTCAAGCCAGCAATTACGTGGCTCAACTCCAGTTGCCTCTCTGGACCAGTAATAAAAATAACTGAGTTCCTTGGGGATCAATACTATCAACTTGTACTACTTGCCACCAATTAAGCAATTTTTACTATTAAAAAAAAAAGAATTCATTACCAGTGTTTTCATCCGGTTGTATTATTTTTATTTCTAAATGAAAAAAAAAAATCAGATAACCATGATATCAGTTACCATTTACTACTACTTTACTACTATTCAGGTACTTTATTACATTACGCCCTTAATTAGCCCTTAAAGACTTAAGTGTTCTTTTTATAGACAAAAGTAGAGGTGCAGAAAAGTAACATGCAAAGTTATATAGAAGAAAGTGTAGCGACTTCCTGAAGCCAGGTGTCTCTACATAGCTCATGTTCAGCCCCCAAGCCCTCCTCAGCAGTTGCTTTTCAGAAAACCAGTTAGTACTAAAACCTCAATGGGAGAACTGCAAAGTCAGGTCTAGAGAGAAGAGATGTAGGCAGACGCGATGTGACATCAGTATCTTTAGGTCACTCTCCCACCTCTAGTTCACTTTGACATTGTGGCCAATTAAATTTATCACTGCTAAACTAAGTCAATATGAAAGAGAGGCTGGCCCCTCTAAGCTTGGATCTATGCTTTGTGTAACCCACCGCAGTGCTGTTTCTATACACAGCATGCAGTTTCCACACCATCACATTAGACAAGGCTCAGTACTATGTGAAAAGGTACAATTTAGGAGATCCTAAAAACTAATTTCTTTAATATGGCCATTATTCCCTTAACAAAAAAACTTTAAAAAATTATTTTAAAAGTACTACATGAACTCAGAGGAGAATGTACTGTGCAAGAGCCTGAGCTGTTCTCATTAGGTAAATATGACGTGTCATTCCCATGAAGTAACGTGACCAGTGAGTGCTGTCCACAACATTTGAAAGAAAAAAATTCTGATACGTAGAGGTGTCACGACTGCTCATAGCTCTCTCAAAACATCATGTCCTCTTTTTTTTACTTCTACTTGTCTCAGGAATAAAAACTATTCTGAGTAGCTTTATTTCTCCACTTCTTGGTGAGCATAAAATTTTGAGGACCCTGACTGGAATCATTGTTCAGTTTCTTTGATGCTTGTCAATGGTCTTCTCTCAGTTCTCAATTTAAAAATATACAATTTAATGGTTATATGTAATAGGTTAAATCTGTGTGGTAAACATACTGGAAAAACACATGAGGAACCACAAGTACTGAGGAACAAACACTTGGTCAAAGTTAAAAGATCTAAGTCCATCACACATTTTTATGATCTCGTGAAAGTACTTAGTTGTACTTCCCAAAAGGCCTTTTTCCCTTTCTGGCATGCCAATCATTGCTTACCAGGTAGTGGAAAAGGTTCTGTAATTTTCATTCCTAAATGAGAAAGAAGTTTTCAAGGGCTTTCAGTTTGCTCCAATGAGTATAATTTTCAAACTTTTGTCTGAGGAACTTGAGATATAAGCCCCCCAAGTTTCCACTGAGCAGTAGTTTGCAGCTTTTGATTTAAAAGCTTAGGTTCTATAAGCCCTTCCTTGTGTAAATCTACCAAGAAGAGTCTTAGAGGAGTCTTTGCCATAGCACCTCATTGACGGTGTGTTTATGCCCAGGGTAATGCTATATTTTGTTACCTAAAGATCCCAGAGCAAAGCCTGTGAGAGAAGCAGAGGTTTCTGTTGAGTAACATTAGCTGTAAAGCCAGGAAGGTACCTCTAACTTCCAGCAGGGCCACCTCCCATATCACTCAGCGCTAACTTTCTTGCCCCAGAAACAGTGCTCCAGGAGCAAATGAACGCAAGGTATGAAAGGCGCTATCTCTACGCTCTTCCTGTTACAGCTCAGGCTGGGTGTCTCCCAAGGCTCATGTGCTCCTCGGCCGGGCTGTGGGCAGTGATCGGGTCATCATCATGTGATGCTGGATTATGAGTGTGATACCCGATTAGTCCACTGAATAATTTAGCATAGTTGTATGTGATGGGATTACTGAAAAGGGAACCTCCACTGTGGGTGTAGGTGGCAGCAACCAACAGGCTTGTTGCCTGTATGAAATAAAGGGGAACGAGGCTCCGTGCTTTGCTACGCTCTGCCTGCCACACTATGAACTGTTTCTCCTCTGCTGTGCTGCCCTGCCTTGGAACCAGCTGACTATGGGCTGAAACCTCTAAAAACTGTAAGCTAAATAAACCTTTCTTCCTTTAATCTGTAGGTGTTGGGTATTTTGTCCTGTAGGAAGGAAGTAACTAAGACACCTACCAAAATCTCTGTAGATGACTAGCACACATTTATAAGAAAAATAGTCTCTTTAATCCTAGGAGAATCATTCCTTGTAATATTTGGGCTCTGAGAATAAGCAGAAAGCTATCTTACCAGGTATTTCATGTGGTTCATGGATTTTCACACCTAAATGTAGGAATGAATACTGGTCAGTGTTAATCAGTTAGTCTACATAATCCCTCTACTTCCAGTGCCCTCAAAGGGAAGAATGGTAACAACAAAACAGCTTTCAACGGCTCTTCATTCTCAAGCAAGATGAAGTTCAAACTGTAAACTAGACTTCAAGAACTGCCATGATTTAATCCTTATTTCTCCAGTCTTATCTACATGAGACAGGCCTAAGACAGCCATTGGGGGGGGGCGGGGGGGTGGGGGGGAAGGGTCTACAGGGTCGCACTATGTAGATTAAGACTCCTAGTGATTCTTCTGTTTTCAGCCTCCCAGAGAACTGGGATTATAGGCGTGGGCTACCACGCCCAGTCTCAATCACTGTCTCAGTGGGCCCCTGGTCAGGGTGGTGCTTTAATCTGCTGAGCTATTTGGCAGGCCCTAAAACAGCCATTTTTAAATGAAACTATACCAGTCTGAAGCCTGTGCTTGATTCAGCTCCACTGGCATTAAAGTTGTTAGTTCTGTGCCTTTGGTCAGGCTTCTTAATCATTGTGAACTTGAAATCCTCATTTATATAATGAATGCAGATTAACACAAATAACTACATAAAAATGGTTGGCACATTGCACAGAACATAAAAAAAAAAATAAATAAATGAAGTTCTCCACACCCTATTCTGGCTTAATTCCCCGAACTACATGCTTAGTAATGTTCTTAGTCTTAGTGAGGTAGGAGAAAATAAATTTTTTGAAATAGGCAAAAAGGGCACAATAAAATTGAGATTTTAAAATGTACTTTGGGGCTGGCGAGATGGCTCAGTGGTCTAAAGCACCTACATGGAACAAGCTTGGCAAAGCACAGGGACCATGGTTCGATCCCTCAGCACCACATGCCAGCCAGCCTCGCCCCCTGGTGGGCTGAGCTGGCCACACACACACACACACACACACACACATACACACATACACACAATAAATAAATAAATGTTAAAAAAAATAAAAAATAAAATGTACTTTTAAGAAAAGCAGTAGCTTTTGGAACTAAAATTTAATCCTTTTTCTCTTTTTTGAGCGAAACTCACTAAAAATTAAAAAATCCTGGGGCTGGGGAGATAGCTCAGTAGAATAAGTGCTTGCCTGGCAAGCGCAGGGTCCTGAGTTCAATCCCCGGTACTGAAAAAAAAAAAAAAAAATCCTAATGACTTTAAAGAAACTGAAAGGTTATATAAAACAGGCTCTGGACCTGTCCTTTTCACTTGTAGGTTATACCTCCTTCTTCCCCGAGGAAGCACTGATACTGTTGGGCAGCGTATCTCAACTTCAAATACATGTAAGTAGTTTGCATTCTGACATAGCGTGCCAGATGAGTAAATTGACAGACAACAGAAATACACATTCTAGATCACTCTTCTTGACACCACACCCAAGGTTCTTCCTCTTCTCTTCCTTCTCCCCCACCCAGTTCCCCACTACAGTCTTATTTCTTTAATTTCTGCCTAACAAAACCCTTCTCATCCCTCTTACTGATTAGTTCAAAAATTCTTTTTGTGTGATGAGAGCTATGGAACTTACTAATAGTCTATGTTTAAGGTAGGTTATATTCTTATTTGAGTTGCAGAAACCTCAAGATTCAGTCCAGTGACACTAAATCCTCACATCTCTTCCTAATGTTGCAGCTTGTCTTAGAGAGTAAGGGAAAAAAAGGCTCACTTACCAAGTCAGACAGTGAGCCCTACCATTTTATTCCCAAAGGTAAAATATAAGAAATTTAATGGGTTAACTGAGTTTTGTGCTTTAACTGTGGAAAATTATTAGGAAAAACCTTGTGCTTCCTGTTATCTACTCTAAGGAATGAGTTCCCACTCCTTGTTCAAGGCTGTTTAGCAGTGAATAACTTTCTTGTCAAGGCAGTGAGCTGAAACAAACTCCTTCCCTAACTGTCTCCTGCAAACATAGTCAGTTTAAGATGTATCTTATAAAAGTATGCACTTATCACTAAACTGTAAAACACCCCTTAGTTACAGTTTGCAGCTGTGTCAAATAAATGTAGTTTTCTATTGTTCTGTGCTAGATAACAAATTCTGTGCTTACCAAACAGCATGTGATTCTGGTTATATAAACCTTCTGCTCTCTGCATTCAGGGTTGCTCAGTCTTCTGCGTGGGAACTGGCTGACGACCCTGAGCTCAGTAATAAATGGCTCTAATCAAATTTTAATCTGGTCTTTCATCTGGTTCCTATGCTGAGTGACCCCAAACAAGAACTATTTAGTTAAAAAAAAAATAATTCCACTTGAAAGTTAACTTTATACCAAGCTTTCTATAGTGGAACATTAAAGGATTTGAGAAGTGGCAGGGAACAAGGGAAAAGCTTATGATAATGTCTTACCGGGGTCTTCCAGCTTCTGGTTCTCCTCACCTAAGTTAGGAAAACAGGAGAGAAGGAGGAATCTATTTTAATAAGGGAGCAAAAGAATTGAGACTTACAGCTACAGAAATATAATTTTCCGGGTAACATGGTCATTAGAAACGTTTGATATGGCCAGTAACTACTGTTATTTTTTGAGTGTCAGCAGAGTATAAATGCAACTAGACTAATGGGCTGAATTTCCACCTTCTGTTTCTACATTTTAGAAATCTATCATATCTAGGTGTCTCTTGTAGTCTCAACCAGGAGAAAAATGTCTATTTTGCAATAAAGGAAATTATACACTTAAGGAAAGGCTGATTTTTTTCTCCCTTCCACTTGCCAGTCAAATTATTTAAATATATGATGACCAAAAATAGCATTTTTGTTAATTTTTATAATGTAACAGGAAATACAGCATTTTGCTATCCTGTAATTTTCAATTATTTGGTCTATTAGGCCTAATCTAAATTGTAAATGACTTCTGAGCCCCTTCATTTTGAATAAATAACAAATGAGTTCCATACTGTTTGGTCCAGAAGTGGCATAAATATTTAATAATAATACATTTTCCTGGCTTCCTGATTATAAGATAGCTTGTTAGATGTTGGTCAATTCTGTCAACACCATCCATAGAATTATACTGGATTTTTTTTTTTAGTTTCAGTTCTTATAAGTTCTATCATTTCTTTTTTATGAGTAGTTGACAGTAGGGAGATTTTTTTTTTTTTTGTCTCCTTCATAACACAGACTTTCCCTCTGATATGCTAACATTTTTTTCCTTTTTAAAGGCCTTTTCTTCTGCAGATCTTTTGGCACCTCTTTCCTATTCAGTTTCAGTATCCCAAATGTGTATATTTTGTATTGTAAAAAAAATGACTGAGTTCTGGAAGAGTATAAAAGTTATATCTAGTGAAATTATGAGATTTTATAGAGTATAACACAAAATTATAGGTTATTTTTCACAAACATGAGTTAGTAAAATAAAATAACCATAAATTATTATTAGATTGCACTAGAAACAAACATCAAAGGTCAAAACAACATTCTAAAAAAATATGCAAAAACAGACGCTATAAAATAACAAGCCAGGCATGGGGGTGCATTCCTATCACCCCTGCATTTGATAGGCTGAAGCAGGAGGACTGTCCTGGGTTTGTGGCCAGCTACATAGTGGGTTACATAGTGAGGTGAAGGCTAGCCTGAACTCATAGTAAGACCTTTTTTTTTTTTTTTTTTTTTTTTTTGCGGTACCAGGGATTGAACTCAGGATCTTGTGCTTGCCAGGCAGGCACTTATTCTACTGAGCTATCTCCCCAGGCCTTATTTTTTTAACTATAAGTAAAGTAAAATAAAATAAACAGACATTCATGTAAACAAGAGTCAACTGATTGAACTGACACCTGCTTGAATGATGGTTGAGATAGTCAATATGTAAACAAATGCAATGCCCAAGTCTGAGACAGCCAGAAAAAAAAAAAAAATCCTTCTGCCAAGTGACACTTTGGGTAAACTACTAAGTGGTTAATGCAGAGATATGATTTGACAATATTTCTATAAATGAAAATCTAAAAAATCAAATCACCTAGATAGTTTAGTCATGATACCTGTAAAGGAAAAAACTTAAATGCTGCACTTGAAATTGGAGCGGGGTGTGGCAGTACATACCTACAATTCCAGTAATACCAATACAGCATACAAATAAGGCTATAGGACCATTTGCCTCTACTCATCTGAACCTGGGCAACACTCCAGGGCCAACCTCCCAACCTCCGACCTATGGTCTACTGCTTGGAGCAGAGGTAGGAAACACAAAGACCCCTGGGCCTGCTTTGGAAGATTCCGGCATCCAAACCAACAAGCATGTTTGCCAGTTCTCCAGCATAAAGTATAGTTAACCTTTATTCACTTGAAGCTCACTGAAGGCTCATGCACATGGAATGCATCTCATACATCTAATTATAACAGTGAATTATGGGAAAGGACTTTCACATTAGATACAACTGACATAACTCAGCCGCCCTGTCAATCATACTTTCAAAAATCCAAGGGGAGGTGCTCTAGGCCCAGCACAATGTTTCAAATGCCTCAAACTAATGCCTACAGTACTCATGCCACTTTCCTTTGCACTGGTGTGAGCCTGCTCACTCGAGTATACTGCAGCCTAAATTAAATTTTGTTGCTGGGTGTGGTGACACATACCTGTAACTCCAGCACTATGGAGGCTGAGGCAGAAGAATAACCAGGAATTCAAGGCCAGCCTGAACTATATTGTGAGACTGTGTCTCAAATAAATAAACAAGAAAACTTTGTTGCTTTTTCCTTACTGTGAAGAACCAAGTCCAATTTGTTCATCCCACCGGAAGAACCTTGAAAACCACCCTGGACTCCATCACCCTTAGCAACATCTTGGTGAACCAGTTAGGAAGCAAGCCATCTTTGGGGGGAGATTTTATACTCCTTCCCTCCTTTTTCCCATTCACATGGTTTTGGTTGCTCATTGAAGGGACAAGCTAGACTGTTAAAGGACATGAGTGTAGGGTCAGTTAGAAGGAGAGAGAGACAGGTAGGTCATAAAGTGTCTGACATGGCATAGCTGGCATGACAGATGGCTAGAGAATACGTAATCACCTACTTTCTAGAAATTTCCCCTTGTGAAACTTTACAGGTGTAGGGCATTTATTTTTAAAGATCTTCTATTCACTAAAAACTCCCCAAACTCCACTTTCAACCTAGCAAGAGCTCACCCCAGTAACAATTTATCCCAAGAACAAAGGCTAAGACTCTGATTGCCTTGAACACATCAATCAAAGAAGACTCCATAACCCTTAAACTTAGGCCAAGACCCTGATTGGCTTAGAACCTCTGTATGTACAGTCAGAGCAAAGACACTGTGTTGAGAAATTCCCTTAAAATTTTCCTTCTAGTCTGGCTTGTTCCACAGCAACTTTGTCTTTGCCTTCACCATCTTGTGAACAAAACTTTTTCACACCACTTTGGTTTGTGAGTTTCTCCTTCTGTGCCCCTGATAGCCTGACTTGATTTTCTACTTCAGGGATTTGATTTTGCATTTTAGCTTTGAATCAGCCCCATCTTCCACTCTTTGCCTGAGTGTAGGGAGCAAGAAAATTTCTGTGCATCTCTCAGGCTTATGCTTTATGACCTTGCTTTTGTTATGAACTCCTGCAGCCTAGGGATATCTTTTCATTACCTAGAGACACCTAAGCTCCTAGAAAAATGAGTATCTGTCAGAGAACTGGAAGTTGGAGGAGCCTAGTGTGTCCAACACGTGGGATGCAGAGGGGAAGCCTGTGCCCTCTGTATTTTAAAGACCTACAGGCCCACAGAAAGGGCACCACTCCATCCCTTCTCAGCTATCTGCCACAAGCTTTCTGGGGCCTACGGCTGCCAATAGGAATTTTTTCCTGGAGCCTCTTGGGGTAATTTCTCTAATGCCAGCTTTCTTCCTCTTTCATCTTACTTGGTTACAGTAATTGTATGATACTTTTGGCCTCAAGTTTATCTCCCTATCTCAAATGATGCATGATCTGTACCTCCTAAATGACTTCTCACTGTGATGATTTCACCTGCTAGGAAACTCATATCTTCTTGTGATGTGGCTTAGCAGAAATGCAGGGGTGATAGGATGGAGTGGAGGGAGTGCTCATGACTCAAGTTGTTAAGCGAGGTACCACTCAGGCTACTGCAGCAGCTAGGTCCAGAACTGTACCTCTTCTAGCCTAATAGCAGCTCAGATAGCCTGCACAATTTGTTTAGTCTCTTTCCATAGGAATGTGACCTAGCTTCAGTTCCCAGACTGCCACCTCCTGCATTCCTCACCCATCAGACTTTCTTCAGTTCCTTCCAAGTGACCAGCACATTTGCACCGGTCTAGATACAGCCTCCATGAGGTCCACCAACTTTGACAAATGCCAGGAAATCTATCAAGATGCCTGAGAGAACCCACCCAAACTGATGGCCCAACTCACAGAAGCAATAAAAGCCCACACTCATTTAGATCCCTCAAGACTTGACAAGAGACAAGATTGTCTCAAGACCTGTATCAATTCCTAGGCAGTTCCTGACATTGGGGCAAAACTCAAAAAATTCAAGGAGGGTCCTCCAATTCCTATGGCCAATGAATCTCATGACTACTGCCTTTAGGGTCTACTAAAATCAAAAACTTGACAGAAGTATTCAGAAGAGCCTCCAATAAGTCTGCCCTCCAGCTTTTTACAATATTTCAGCCTAAACAAAATTTAAGCACCCTGGGTCTTGCTTTCAATGCAGCAAAATGGGGCACAGAGCAAAACAATGCCCATATCTGAAGGCTCCTATGCACCTTAAAGGGCCACGGGAATATAGACACTTTTCCCTCCAAGAATGGGGTCATTCATTCCTTTGTTTTATTTTAATAGATTGCAACTTGAAAATAAATTATTTACAAACATAAGTGAATATAACAATAAAAATTGTCCAAAATAAAAATGAAGAAAGAATTTACAGATCAGTCATAACAGTTCACTGTGTCAAA